CAGGCACTGTCAGACCTGTTATCGGATTTTCCCGATTTTGAGGGTGTATGTTTATTTTAGAATTTATTTTTAAAACTTCTATTTTTCTTACAATTGAACTTCAATGGTGCTTCTACGTACGGCGGTCACACAACAAAAGAAAAAAAAAACAAACGGAAAAGGAGACTAATCAAAAGAAGCAAAAACAACATCATTCCATGCCTTCAACTGTCAAAGCAGATAAAGGCTTGGATTTAATGTTATGACTTGCTCATTTTCATTCACCCTTTATCGATAAGTGTACGAACATTCCGCCGACGTTGAAAGATTAGTCTTTCAAGGATCACATAGAATAGCAAATTTTTGAACTGGACGACGAACGATCCCCTTTTTTGTTTGGATATCGGCAACACGAACTTTACCATCCTTGCCCTGGATGATTTTTGTCACGCGACCTGTCACCAATACGATTGGTGGCATGTTTTCTTCATGAATCAAAACAAGCGTCCCTGTATGTAAATTATTGGTAACCTTAGTCCATCGATTGCACTGAATCAGTTCGTTGAGATACTCGTTTGACCACCTGATCCAAAATTGTTGTTTCACTGCACTAATGCGCCGCCATCGTTCGAGGTATGACACTTCCACATTTTGATTAATGTTTGGTTAAATGATGCAGTTCATAGGACTCCCAATCAAAAAATGACCTGGTGTCAAAGCTTCGAGGTCATTCGCATCCCACGACACAGGTGAAATCGGTCTGGAATTCAAGATTGCTTCGATTTCTACGAGAGCGGTAGTGAGCTCTTCATATGTTAACTTGCTGTTCACCAACGTACGATACAGGTGCCCCTTTGCAGACTTCACGGCGGCCTCCCAGATACCTCCAAAATGTGGTACTCTAGGTGGAATAAAGTTAAAGGATATTGATTTATTTGAACAGAAATTAATGACATGATTTTTATACGCTTCGCTAGTAAAGCTTCGTAGCGTTATCACAATAAATTTCTGCAGGTGGTCCTTTGCGACCAATGAATCTTTTCAGCGCAGCAATAAATGCATTTGATGACAGATCTGTTACTGCTTCAATATGAACGGCTTTAGTTGTGAAACACACGAAAATGGCTACATAACATTTATAGGGCTGTTTTCCTCGAATTTTCAAGTAAGTTGAAATAGGCCTACAGAAGTCAATTCCGCATATTTCAAATGATTTGCCTGGCGTCACACGGGACTCAGGCAAATCTCCCATTATCTGGCTTAACAATTTTGGTTTATAACGTATGCAGCTGATACGATTATGTACTATTATCCTAGTTGATCCTCTAGCATTGAAGATCCAATATCGTTATCGTAAAATTGCAATTAACGCCTTAGAACCAGCATGATAATTTTCAATATGATGATGTCTAGCCAAAGTCTTAACGAAATGACAATGTCTTGGTAATAAAAAGGGGTGTTTTCTTTCTTCTGAATTACTCGCATGCATAAGGCGTCCACCAACACGAAGCAATGGAAATCCATCCACCTCTTGAATAAAGAGAGTAGGAGTTTTCACGAAGTCTTAATTTCCACGTTGTTGTTTATACAATGAATTTCATTAGAGAAATGTTCGCTTTGAATGATCCAAATGATGCAATGTAAAGAATGTCGTAACTCATCACTAGTGAAATTAGGTTGATGACCAGGACCCTTTTGTTTAACTCGGCTACGCACACGAAGCAACCAACCAATAACACGAAGTACTTTAAGATATGAGCTGGTCCGATCTATGAATTGTAGCACTTGATTTGTGGGTGTTTCACATATCATAACTATTTTCCGAATTGCACCATCTACTTCTCGTTTGCATTGAGTGTTACTTATACATGAGTCTAGCCATTCCTCATACTCTCGATTTAGAAATGCTGGCCCTGATAACCAGTTGGATTTCAATAATTCGCTAGTTGAACATCCTCGTGATATTACGTCAGCGGGGTTAATTGAAGTCGGAACATGTCTCCAAGAACAATTTGCAGTAAGTTCTTGTACTTCAGAAATTCGATTTCCCACAAACGTTGTTAATGTGGAGGAATGGTGTTGCAACCAGTGTAATACGACAGTCGAATCTGTCCACAGAAATGTTTGGAAATATATATTGCTAAATATCGGCGCAATTTCGCTATATAGTTGAGCTAGTATAAGCGATCCACAAAGTTCTAATTGAGGTAGGGTTCTTTTCTTTACCGGAGCCACCCGACTTCGTGCCTTCAATAAGTTTACTGAAATATGTCCTTGTTGATTACAAACCCGCACATAAAACCAGCATCCATAAGCTCGAATTGAAGCATCACAAAATCCATATAGTTGCATGTTGATGATATCTGTTTGTAATACATATCGAGGTATTTTAATTGATTTCAAATTATTTAGGTCGTTGATGAAATTTTCGAATCTAATTCCAATTTGTTGTGGAACTACTGTATCCCAGTTTATCTTCATAATCCATAAATCTTACAATAACACTCGTGACTTAATAATTATGGGAGCAATCAATCTCATCGGATCGAAATTAGACGATGAGATCGACAAAATTGAGCGTTTGGTTAATGACGTGTATGTCTTGCTCGGAGTGTACGAAAATAAAAACTGGTCCTGATTTGAATCCCATTTTATACCAAGCGTACTAGTAATTGCTGGTTCATGTAAATTTAAGTCTTTTAATTCATTATTATTGGTGATGAATGATGGATGATTTGACTGTATTTTTGCAATTTCGATACCAGCCTTTCTTAATATTGACGTAATTTCGTATTGTGTTGTTTGTAGTTCATTGAAGTCATCAGCTCCCGTTAACATATCGTCCACATAGAAATGGTTTTTTAGCACATGTGAACCCAATTGATATTCGGTTTCCCACTTTTCCGCAATATATTGAAGACTCCTTATCGCCAAAAAAGGTGACGCGGATAAACCGTAGGTTACTGTATTCAACTGAAACACGCGAATTGGATTATCTTCAGTCTCTCGCCATAATATTTGCTGATAAGAACGGCAGTCAGGATGTATTCGAATCATTCTGTACATTTTTGTTATATCTCTACTTAATGCGAATCTTTTCAATCGAAAACGCATAACATGCAAATATAATTCCGATTGTATAGTTGATCAAACACCACTCGTAATTTCGTGGTTGTGCTACTTGGTTTGAGTACGTAATGGTGAGGTATAAAATATGATTTTATACGTTTCGCACTTCCGTCATATGATTTAACTGCTCATACTCTTTCATAAAGTTTGTATATTGATACTTTAATTCACAATTGTGGGATAAACGTATTTCCAACGAATGAAAACGCTTTAATGCTACATTGTACGAGTCTCCGAGTAATAAAGGCGATTCTTTAAACGGTAATTGAACCTCAATTCTACCATCTGGTAAAGTGGTAGTAGTTTTCACAAATGCTTCTTCACATAATTGCTCTTCTTCGTTCCATTTCTTACGTATACTGGCTGTGTCTTGTAATAGCCACAGATACTCTAAGTTTTTATTGATTGATTCGATATCAGTATCTACCTTGGTTATATGATATGACTTATTGATAACATGTTTCGATGAACTGTACCATCCTGACACTATCCAACCTAAAACTGTTTCTTGTAACATTGATAAATTACGGCCCAACCTTAATTGCCCACTGCGTAACATTTCGAAGAAGCAATCAGCTCCTATTAACATGTCAATGAGAATTATGAAAGTGCTCGTCAGCTAAATTGATTTTCGACGGTAATTGCCAAGAGCGAATATCTAATGCTGAGTCAGGCTGATACCCAGACAGGCGATTTGAAATTAGAAAGTTCAAATCAAATTCTGAATCATTAAATCGCGATCTAATTGTCGTTTGCGTCTCGTACTTTAACTTCGAGGACGTACACCCAACACCGACAACCTCTACTGATGTCTTTTTCTTCTGTAGTTTCAGCATATTAACGAAGGATTCAGTCATTAAGTTCACCTGTGAACATGAATCTAACAATGCTCTTCCTACTTTAAATGCACCCAACGAGTCCCTTACCAGAATAATTGCTGTTGCCAAAATTACCTTGTGTGCTACAGTTTTAATATGTGCATTGATTGATGCTGATTCAACTCCACCATGTTTTGTCTACAGATATCTGAGCGATGTAACAGTGTGTGATGTAGTTTGTTGCATATTTTACAAGAATGTTTTGATGGACATTTAGCCACGATGTGTCCTTCTGATAAACAGTTTATACAAATACCCAATTTTTTAACAGTGTCAAATCTTCGCGACACATCCATTTCAATAAATCGTTTGCAACCACTTAGCCAATGGTCCCCGCTCTTACATGATACACAATTTTTATCTCGGATGCGTGTATGAAACGATGAACGGTTATTTTGGAGGGTAACGTAACCTTTTTGCTTTTGTTTTGTATTCTCTATTGTATCCGGGCTAACTGATTCTAAAAATTGACACCGTCTTTCCATATGTTGAGAAAATTCATTCCACGTAGGTAACACTGATAAATCTAATTTCTCATTCATTGTCTTTGCGTTTCAGAATCGGACTTGTTCAATATTAAATGAATCAACATTCCATCACATATGTCTTTGTCGTCTCCAAGTGATTTGAGAGAACTGAATATAGCTGATGCGCTATCAACTAAACTGCGCAAAGTAATTGATGACGCTTTGCGTACGTCTGGTAAGCTATATAGATCTATAATATGTTCCATAAATATTAAAGTTTTATTCTTTTAATCTGTTCAGAGCCTTTTCGTAATTTTCTGTCGTAATCTGAAATGAACGAATGGTATCAAGTGCTTGTCCTTCAAGACATTGAATCAAGTGGTTAAACTTTTCTATGTTGGAGAGTGACTTGTCTTCGTTAACTAATTGCTTGAAGGATGATATAAAGTTTTGATACTCTGCGTATTTTCCTGTAAATTTTGGCAATTTGAGTTTTGGTAAATTGTTCGAGCTTCTGCTTGGAATGTGTAACGCTAACTCTCCACGACTTCGATTAAAGTCGTCACCTGAAAGTTCAATAGCCTTTGCTTTCGCTAAAATGCAAAGTTCTTCTATTTCTACACGAGCGTTATCTTTATCGTTCAACGCTTCAATATCCGATTGTATCGCTAACAACTGTTTGAAATAAGCTTCGATTAAGCTTTACCTGCATTCCAATTCCGCATGTGACATCACACATGATAACAAATTCTTTATCCTAGTAACATTGGTCTCTATCACCTTACATTTGATGACTAGTGAACTCAATTCAGCCATATCTACAACTTTGAACGTAGTTATTAATAAACTCGAAGCTGGTTAAATGTCAATTTACTAAATTTATATCTTATATATGTGATAAAATACAAACCAAATCCAACGTTTAGAGAAAAAACGAAACAATTTTACTTTGCAAGCCAACGAAACTTGTACTGCACACAAAAAATATGACACGGCAACCCGTCAACTTCGAGCCCCACGTTGGGCGCCAAAAAATGTATGTTTATTTTAGAATTTATTATTAAAACTTCTATTTTTCTTATAATTGAACTTCAATGGTGCTTCTACGTGCGGCGGTCACACAACAAAAGACAAAAAAAAAACAAACGGAAAAGGAGACTAATCAAAAGAAGCAAAAACAACATCATTCCATGCCTTCAACTGTCAAAGCAGATAAAGGCTTGGATTTAATGTTATGACTTGCTCATTTTGATTCACCCTTTATCGATAAGTGTACGAACAGAGGGGGAAATCGTAAGGATGATGTGTAATACAGGATTGCCAAGAGAAAGAACGTGCAGTTTAAATTCTAACCAGATTAGAACAGGCCACTCAACGGCTGCTGCCGTTATCATTACCAAAGGAGACCGATCTCTCCTAATACTTTATGATGAATGCTTTTCTAAATTTAAAAAGGACAATAAGTAGTTGAAGATTACTGTTGGATAATTTTTTTTTATGTTGTTTTTATTGAATAGATGGAGGTTACTGAATTACTTACAGGCAGACACAACAAGCAACAACAATTAGCTCCACATCAACGAAATATTTTACAACAACAGCAGCACCCACAACAACAACAACAACAGCAGAAACATCAACAGTTGCAAGGTGCTAAAACTGCTTGTATTACAAATGCACCAACAGCAAATATATTAGCAGCTGCATCAGCGACCGTTAACCAGTGGTGGTAATAACCGATAAATATTGCACACATACTCAGCTTCAATAAAGTAAAATAAATAAAACAAAAACGAAACATCTTATGTATTTCCTTAGTTATGACGTGAAACTTGAATACTGGCGTTCCACGAGGAACTGTTTTCGGCCGTATCCTGTATGCACTTTAGTCATCGGCACAACGTTTGTCAATAATACGGCAATATCACGCCGACACAAAAACCTTGGCTTCAAAGCAACTTCAATCTCATTTATTTTGGATGGTGAAATATTTGTCAAAATGGCGAAATAAAATTAATGAACTAAAATGTAAACACGTCACTTTTACCTTATATCGAAGTCAATGACTTTAATAATATCCCCATACTACAAGCAAATAATATAACGTACTTAGATATTCACCTAGATGTGCGACTAACTTGGCGCAAGCCTTTTGAAGCCAAAAAAGTTCAAAATAAGCTCTAACTCTCTAAGTTGCATTGGCTTATTAATAACAGATTCCCCTGTGCCTAAGCTATAAAGTACTCTTGTATAACTGCAAAAATACTCAGAAAAATCTCTGGTATCCCATGATATATTAGGAAGGACAGTATCCATCGAGATCTACAAATTCCTTTAGTTAAAACTAAATTTGACAATAGGTGAAAATAATGCAGTAAAAGGCTGACAGTACATGTTAACACCTTAGCAAGGAATCTCGCACTTCTATCTATTATTTTCCGCCTAAAAAGAGCTGACCATCCAGCTGTTAATTAAAATTTAAAAGGTACAAGTAAAAACCGCACTACTCTTTTTAGTAATCTTATAAAGTTTAACTGCTTCCTTAATAAACTATCTCACATTCACTCCAATGACATTTAACCCACCAATCTAAGTGAGGTCCGTGATATAACGTAACGTTTACTTTTTTGTTTTATATAATACAATGTATAGTAAGAATAAAAATTGTAATATTATGTAATTACTGATAAGATTTTGAAACTTATTGCTAGTGTCATTGTAAGAGCAGATACAATAAATAAGTATAAGTATTTAAAAAATATATATATTAGAAGAAACATTTAGGTACGTGCAAAAGTTATACCTCTAGCAGAAAAATTATGTATGTATGGGATTATTTAGTTATACGAAAAGTATCCATAATTTTTTTCATATATTTTTGATAATACATTTCTTTTATTACTCTTTACGCACAACGAACTTAATATACAAGTTATTAGACTAACAAACTATACCACTGAGTCCAGATTACACCAAATCACAAAAACCGTTTATACATAAACTAAACGACAAATATGTTGTACATAAGAAAAGGCATCCAAAACCGTAGACGCTGGTAGAAAATGTTTTAAATCAACCCGTTGATCATCGCAGTGGCAATGGGTGCAACAATAACATGCTTAACACACAATTACAACAACGTGATATATACAATGAAAGATATCTTGGAAACTGCAATAAATGAAGAATAAATGAAAAATTTTGGGGTTAGTTCACATTTAGCAAATTAACAAATTTAATTAACGACAGATTACTGAAATTTCTTAGTAGACTAAAAAAATTATTAGACGCTAACAAGCAACTTAGGGTAGAAAATAGTAATAAATATACCGTTATTAAATAAAGTAGAACTGAAAAACAATAACAATCAAAACCAAATAAATATATTTCATAAATATGTCAATATAATATAATATAGAATTTAACTCAGAAACTGAAATGAGTAATATTTTCACTATTTGGTTAATACAATTATATTAAGTAAGCTGAATATTACGTACTCCAAACAAATTAAGAAAAATAAAGCGAGTAGTTTTTTGTTGTTTTGTTGTAAAATTAATTTTTTTGAATGGATTGGGATGTGGCATATCTGCATATTAATGTGTAAAAAAAGTTGTTGGTGAGTGGTAATATAAAAATATGCGTAACAAGTTATCGGATATTTGTCATCGGTACATGCCAAGTGCAACTTTGCATTGGTCCATTGAAGTGATGATAAAACGTAGTAGAAACAAGTTCACTTCATTTGTTTTGTGCAAATGAAATTCTCGACTTGCGTTGCAGTTTCGCTATACCCAATTGCATTATCAAATGAAAATAACTAAAGATTATGTAAACAATAATCTTTATATAAACAAGGTCGGCGAAAATCCTCGTTGTAAACCCTCCCCGTGGGTGCTGACCGGGCAATGGGCATCATCCATTTTTTGGCAATTGGATTCATGAAGCTCTCGGATGTTATAGCTGAGGAACATGATGCGGCTTGTCAAGGACTGTGATGTGTCTAGCTAAGATGAAGGAAGAGTCTCATGTGTAGTGGTCGTGGTATCAACAGGGTCAGTGCAGGTGAGCCCTTTCCCTAGTCATAACTTTGAGGTGTCTGGCAGTAGACAAAAAATGCAAAATGGAAGGTTTTTCCATAAAAAACCAAATGGAGTTGAAGAATGAAGAAAATCGGGCTGGGATATCAGCCCAAACGTCGGTGGGAGGCGCAGTTGCTACCATCGGCGGGCGCGGTGATTTTA